GGTGACAAAGGTGTTAAACCTGATTTGACAAAAACACTTGATGAGGTTGGAGATGCAATAGATAATATTCTTAAACGTATTGATGAAAAAAAATTCAATTTAAGAATGAGGGTAATCCTAATTCTGAATTCACTGAAGGAAATACAAGTAATATTCTCATAGAGATGGTGAAGTTGGATCTAGGAAGTATAGCAGACCTACTTGGGGTAAGATATAGCATGGCCAAAATAGAGAGCATGAGTGGGGTACACGTTAAATTGGATTATATGCCACCTGTTAATAGTTAGTTTGACTTCATCATTTTGTAAATGCTAACATTAGTATAAAACTGTTTATATCCTTTATTAACATGTATTTTTCAAATTTTTATTAACAGAATGTATATGAAGTTGAGGATATTCCATATGTTGATGGTGTGATGGAAGTGAGGGTGATGCTCGTATAAATGATGGTGTGGAGGAAAATGAGGGTGAAGGTGAGGATGATGAAGTTGGTGAAGTAGCAGGTGAGGGTGATGGTGATGGTGAGGCTGATGGTGATGGTGATGGTGAGGATGATGGAGAGGGTGATGATGATATTGAGGATAAAGGTGAGGGTGATGATGAGGATGACGTAGCAGATATGGAGGGAAATGATGCTGATGATGAAGGGCATGTACCACCTAGAAGGAAAAGAAAGCCCTCATAAAGGAACATCCTGCAAAAGTTGAAGAAACCTTGTTTTGACAAAGATGGAAATGGTTCCACATCTAGCTATCTAGTAGATTTGGAGTAGTTAGGGGTATGAGCTCACCTCGGGTGTGTGTTCTTGGTAGAATACTATGTGATGATGATGATCCTCGGGCTAGAACACGTGAAAATTAAAGTGTTCGACAACACTATATTATGTAAGAAATAAGTACAATAATCCTTAGAGATGTTTGAAGTTGTTCTTGGGTATTCTTGAAGATATGAAGGTGAAATGAATGTTGTTGAGGAATTTAAGAAGGTCTGAAGGTAATATGGGTAAAACTTATGAATAAACGGTGTTTAAGGACGACTTTTGAGAGCAAAATGAGGAGTTTTTGTAGTGGAAATGTGAGAAATGAAGTGTGTTTTCAGTTTTGACTTATAAATATGTGATAAATTGTTGTGACATGTACATTGGAAAGTGAAATTTATCCCCTTGAATTGTGTGCCACCGCCTAACGTGAGATTTTAACCTATCTTCTCAACCAAAATCCTTGTTTTCAGTCTAAAAGTCCAACCATAAAGGGACATGTTTTCAGTCCAAACCCCACCGGAATCCCCTTGAAGTGTGGTATAAATCAGTAATTATATAAATTAAATCTTTGGCTATTTAATTATTTTATTTATAATTTCAAGTGTTTGACTTTTATTGACTGCATTGACTTTTATTGACTTGAAATAAGTGGTTGTTATAATATAGTTATTTGTGGTGGATCTGAATAGTACATATCAACATTTACTAGATCCATCAGTCCTTCAATTGCCTCACATAAGCATGTTATCATTTAATAAGTCATAATTTTTCAATAACCAAGATTCTCATGCATCACATAATTAGAATTGCATGACTTCAAGTTTCTATTAAATTTGAAACTTGGTGATGAGAATTCTTTTAACTCGGTTAATTATAACAATACCACAAGCGATATCATAAGAATCAAATCCACAATTAATATTTCTAATATTAGAATCATAACCAACACTTTCATAAATGTTATTGCAAGGAAATATAAAACAACGCAACCAGATAAACCAAAATTTCACTTTTATTGAAAAATAAACGAAAGTTGGAACTTGGAAGTTGTCTTTACAATGCATAAAATGAAAAACTGTCTCTATACATCTCATAAGAGTAATAGAAATCTATTAAATTATCATAACTCCTTAAAAGTAGCTCTAAATTCTGATCATCGAATCATGTGACAAAAGTCCATATCTCACGATCAGATTTAGCTCACTTTTTTAAGCTTTCTTCTCTCTCTTAGATTCTACAATATCATCAAAATGTGACTATCACATCATGTACTAAGAGTCTATGAATAGGAACTTATAAACAATGGAGTGTTATAAAGAATGCACCTGAAGTAGATTCATTTGAATCGACTTTACCATCTCTGAGATCTTTCAGGTACTTTGGGCAGCTTCGCAACTAAGGTCCCTTTAATTGGTAGTAGAAAAAAATGGACTCTTTGGGGTTAACACATGGAGACCAGATAAGTAGCTTTTCTATTTACCATAAGATCAAACATTTTAATCTTAAATGACCCTTTCCATTGAGAAGAGAAATCTTTTCTGGACCACAATTTGTCACCATTGTTAATGTCCATGGAAACCTTGGAATTAGATCATATAAGCATCTCTACTTCAGATGTGTTGTTAAGCATTTCCACTTCAGCAACCATCAAGATTTGGGTCAGATCAATTTATGTCACTTCGATACTCCTCATATAAAACTTCTAAATGAACTGATCATATAAATTTGGAAGTAAAAGAAGTGCCAAATTAGTGGCTTGCTCCCTTAGGAACATGACACCCATTCTTCCAACTTTTCAATGTACGCTTTCATTTTGATAACATGCACACACACATGTTTTCCATCTTGATGTTTACATGTCAATAGTGATTGAGTAGTCTCATATCTTTCAAATTGAGGAAAACATGATGTTGGGAGAGTCACAGGAGGATGAGGTGGAAGAGTTTAAGAAGCATAATGTCTAGTTCTACCATTAACTGAAGATAGGAAAACATTTTCACCTTGATCAGAATGTGGAAGATCATCTTCAAAAGGAATAAGGAAACCATTATCAATAGAATGAGGAAGACCATTATTGTCTTGATTCGACATCTATAATTAGGAGAAGAGAGAATTCAAGTTAGTTGATTTGAATCCTTTATTATTAACCCATAAATTTAAATTAAGGATAGGATTCATATTTTCGATTCGAACTTTGAAGAGGGATGTCGTTGTTAAACTTGAATCTATTTTAGGTAGGTAAGGCTTGTACCAATTTCAATCTCATGAAACGCCTAGATCTCTTGAGATTCATTTAATCTTATCAATAACATGTTTAATCTAATATTACGCTCTCACTTTTTTGACTAAGATGTCAAGGATCACAAACAAGATGTGAATAACCATGCAAACCCGCTTGGTAACCTCGAGGTGTTTTATCACCTCAAATTGATGTGCGGTTAACGAAACATGCTATATGAACAATGATAATTTTCATGATGCTCCATCACATATCTTTATAATCCCTATAAGTTTTTCGGTTAATCACAAACGCTCAACTAACGACATATAAAGCAGGATGTGTGTTTTCATGGATTAGCATACTTTTCACATTTTCCTAAAGTAACTAGAGTGGAATTTTTAAAGAAGGTTCTAGTACTTTATATCATGATATACTTTTAATGAGGCTATGTCCTATCAAATCCATTCGGCTAATGACCCTCCACCAAACAAGGGAGCGGTGGGTGAGAGTGGACACCCAAAGGTGGTCATTTTATGGGTTGTCTCCTTATACCCCCCATAGAGTATAGCTTTGTCAATGAGGCCTACTATTGATTTGACTAACTTGTCTTATACATATAGTAATTAATCTTATAATATATATATATATATATATATTATATATATATTATATATATATATATATATATATATATATATAAGGGTGTATTTCAAAACACTTCAAAACAGAAGGTTTAAACTTTTAAATAATTAAATATAAACCAATTATGAGTTAATTTTTATCTTATAATTAACTTTTAATTAAATGAATTTAAATCATTTAGGGATAAAATAATTATATTCTATTAAACAAATTAATTAAATAATTCAAATTTAATCCTAATCCGGAACCCTATCAAATTTTCAAACATTAGGGTTTGGGTTATCAAAATTTCATTATTCTATTTTAAGGATTTTAAAACAACAATTAAGGAAACTAGAAAACCATAAGGAACCCAAACCATTTACGAAAATTAAGGGCTAAAGGCTAGGGTTTGAAGAAACCCTAGCTAAGTCGAAATTTCAAGCCTTTATAGTTTGATTTCTATAAACCCTAATTTTGATCTATTCACTATTATGCACAACCAACTAGAAAGTTATGGCTCCGGTACTAGTGATGGGTTTTATAGGTAATAAAACTATACATGAGGCGGAAAAATACTTAACTCTTAAGTTCACGTGCAACATATTTTGGATCTATGTTTTCTCTATTAATAGCAATAAACTATGAACATCAAGAATCCTAAAGGAACTTTATAATAATTGAAATAAACATAGAGTTAGGGTTTACATATCTTTTGATGATTATAGTAAATAATCAAACAAAATTCCCTTTTGAAAACCTTGGAAAGCAAGCACTAAAAGCTTAGTGCATCTAATGGTTTGTAACCAAAACCCTAGAAACCCTAGAATGATAAGTAGACAGAGAAGAGAGGTAGAAATTTCGTTTCTATGCTTCTTAGGAATGTCATGAATGAAAATAATAAGCAAAGGGGTCATATTTATGGTTTAGGTAACTTTCACACAATGCTAGATTTGAATTAATTAAATAATAGATTTAATCCCAACTCAAATTCTTGCCTTATCTATATCCAGGAGGCTTCGAAAAACCCTAGAAGAGCCTTCAAAACTATCCATTGTTGGATGGTTCAAGAATTATGTTCTTTTGTTCAACTATTAAACACTTACAATTCACCTCTTACACCCTTAATTAATTCCAATTAATCCCAAATTAATTCCTGATTAATTCTGAATAATAATTAATTAATTCTAATTGATTTCTTATTAATTTATTAGCCATATAAATTAACAAATCAATTATTTAACTATTGATCTCATGTTAATTTATTAATCTCATAACAAATTCACATATTATTTATCTATTTCTAATTAATTTATTAATCACATAATATCTTAATAAATTATTTCTCTCTTTCCCCTAATATTATTCTAGCTATTTATGGTTATAGGGGCAACCAAAAAAGGAGTTTACTTATGTTTGCAAGTTTATACTAATTTATTTATAAGCTTAGACACCTTGATCCAATAGTTCTAATCTTTCTTCTTTTTATAACAGTTAATTACAAGTAAATTGTTACATAACCTACACATATCTACACAGTCATACTCTCCAAATTCTCTCAAGGTTTTATATTTAGAGCAAGATAAAAGGGTTGTCAACTTTGATGTGTTATGTGTTTAAAGTGTGTTTCTAAAATAAAAAAGGAGATATAAACAACCGAAACTTTTTAGTTGAGGGTTATACATTTAGTGCCAAATGAAAAGTGCTATATTTTTTTATATTTTTGAAGTGTGTTTAAACAAAAATTGTGTTTTAATGAGTTCTCTTCACATTTTTGAAATATGTACAATAAGAAACTACGAATTTTAATGTATTTGATATGTGTTTTTGAAAAAAAAAATTAGATCATGAAGTGGATTTTGATGGGTTCTATTCTTATTGATGAAAATGTAAATATCCCAATTCATTCTCTTTATGGCTCATTTTTTTTTGTGCGGATGAAGATTTTATGATGTTATTGCTTTTTTTGTTACTATTGTGAATTTTATTTTAATGTCATAATCCTTATCTTCTTTAAGAGTGGTACTTTGAAAATTTATGATGTCATAGCATTCAACTTCACAATATTTTATTACAAAATGGT